GGTCTGTAGCCAATAAACGCGCCGCTCTCGCCGCGCCCGGCCCCGCCCCTCTCAGTTGACGCGATTGGGTGGGCGGTGACTGTCCAGAGACCCCAACAATCAGCGAGCGCTCTAGGCGGCGGAGGAAAGAGGGTGGAGGCAGGAGGGAAGGGGAACGCGGGCTGCGGCAGGTCGGAGGCCTTACCTGTGGGTGTTGCTGGTACCTCAGTGCTTAACTTTAGCCCCGTCAGCCTTTCCTGATCTGCCCATTGCTCGTCTCTGCAGCCTCAAGTACTAATTGTTAATAGTTACTATGTATTAAGCCTGAGCTTTTAAAGCGTGAGCATGCATCAGAAGCATCTGGAAGACCTGTTATAAAACAGGTTACCCTGGAGTAAATTCTGATTCAGTAAATCCGGGGTGAGGTCCAAGAATTGCATTTCTAACAAATTCCAGGTGACTCGTGGATGCTGCTGCTCTGGGGATCACACCTTGAGAACCACTTCATTAAATGCTTACTATGAGCCTGACACTGTGCTTAATGCTTCATTGATTTTTTTTTTTCCTATTATTACTCCCAATTTGCAGAGGAGAAAACTTGAGCATTTGATAACTGAAGAGACTTCACCAAAATCACCAGCAAATGGTGGAGGTGAGGTTCCTGGCCTCTTGCTCTTCAAAGCTTGTTCCCTGCCACTGATACGTACTACTATTAGGCAAATGCATAAGAAGCCCAAGAGCTATTTGTAAAAATAATTGTTGAATGAATAAGCTCTAGCATCCCAAGGAAATGAAGGAAAAGGAAATGGTAATAATGTACCCAAAACTAAGTGTGAAGTCCTATGAGTCCAGTTGTATTGCCAAGAAGGCCAATATCTATGACCTCGATCCTAGAACAGTGCTCTTTAGACTGCTGGTCTTAACCCAATAGTGGCTTTTTGAAATCTATTTATTGTGGACCCCAATGAGCGTATTTTCAATGAAATGGAATAAATAGGAAACAAGTGTTGTTTTTTTGAAACTTTCGTTTGGGGTATATATGTGTATTCTGGTTCCTGGTGTATTTCCTAAAGTGGGTAGCAGTCAAAAAGTTTGAAAGCCATTGTAACCTAGAGGAATCCATTTCTGTTCCAAACTAATTTTGACCTGGGACACAGATCTGTCCTGTTACCTTAGAAAGGTCCTGTCACACTTCCCTATTCTGCAAAACCCACAGTACCTGAATTCCTGGCCAGCATCTGAAGAGATGGAAAAGGTTTAACTACATTCTATAGGTAGAATGTTTGAGCTCTTCAGAGAAAAGCACTCCTGAATATACTGATGATGATCTCAGAGAGAGAGAGAGAGGCAAACAAAAATGGAATGGATTGATTAGTAGTACTCATACAATAATTAACAGCCATTGACACTCTGTGTGGCAGGCACTGCTCTAAGTTGTACTTTAAGTCCTCAACAGCAACTCTATGAGGCAGATACACAACAATCATCTAAAGTACTATTTCATTTTTAAAAAAACATACTGAAATTGAGTAATACACTGCGTTGGTGAGGAGGTGGGGAAACGTGCATTACATACCTACCTGGTAGGCGGGTAAATTGGCTCCACCTTCTCAGAAGGCTGTTTGGCCATACTTAATCAACCTTTCACACCCTTTGACCCACCAATTCTAGTTTTAAGAATGTACCTTACAGCCCTAACCGGTTTGTCTCAGTGGATAGAGCGTCGGACTGATGACTGAAAGGTCCCAGGTTCGATTCTGGTCAAGGGCATGTACCTTGGTTGTGGGCACATCCCCAGTAGGGGGTGTGCAGGAGGCAGCTGATCGATGTTTCTCTCTCATCGATGTTTCTAGCTCTCTATCCCTCTCCCTTCCTCTCTGTAAAAAGTCAATAAAATATATTTAAAAAAAAAAAAAGAATGTACCTTACAGCCCTAGCTAGTTTGGCTCAGTGGGAGAGCGTCGGCCCACGGATCCTTTAATTCCATCAGGGGCACGTACCTCAGTTGCGGACACAATCCTAGCCCCAGAGGCAACCAATCGATGTCTCTCTCTAATGGATGTTTCTCTCTCTGTCTCTCCCCCTCCCTTCCCTCTATTTTCTAAAAATCAACAGAGGAAATATCCTCGGGTGAGAATTAACAACAAAAAGAATGTAACTTATGGAAACAGTCCCACCTAATTATGAAGGATGTGTGTACAGTATAAGAATATTCATGAGTATTCATTGCAGTGCTGTTTATAGTAGAAAAGTCTATTTACCTATCAGAATGGCTGAAAGAAAAACAAATGTCAATAAAAAGACCAAATACTAGGGAATATGCATATCTTGCTGGTGGTATAGTCACTTCAGAAATCAGTTTGGCAACTGCTTATTAAGTCAGTGCTTTTACACTACAAGAGTTGAGTACTTAAGGCTTGGTCAGATAGCTCAGTTGGTTAGAGCATTGTCCTGATAAACCAAGGTTGTGGGCTCAATCCCTGGTTAGGGCACAAACAAGAATCAACCAATGAATGCATACTAGTACTTAAGTAGAACAACAAATGAGAGAGAATCGATGTTTCTCTCTCTGTGTCTCTCTCTCCTTCCTTCCTCTCTCTCTAAAAGCAACAAATAAAATTTAAAAATGAAGAGTTGAGTAATTAAAACAGAGACCATATGGTCCACAAGCTTAGATTATTTAAACTAAGGAAAAGTTTGCCGATTCCCGAATTCTTCTTCTATAATTTTTCGAGGCAAGGGGTGTATTTTTAACACATCAACCATTGTTATATTCTGAGCAATAAACATAGCAGCTAACATTTATGAAGCATGTGTTATTTTACCTCATCCTAAAAACAACTGGGAGGCAGGTATTATTATCCCCATTTACAGAGAAACTGAGATGTGGAGAGTTTAAGTAACTGAGTAAATGGCAGAGTCAGGACTGGACTTCAAGTCCACTGGCTACATTCAGCTATTTCATCCTGAAATAAGAAGCACTTTCTCCCTTTCCCTTCCCTCCACCGCTGGGCCTCTGCCTATGCCCTTCCTTCAGCCTAGAAACTTGTTTATGTTCTCTCCTCTCACTTCCTAGTTAATTTCCACTCCTTCAGGTCTGAGTTTATACCTCATTTCTTCCTAAACCTTCCCTGGCTCTATTGGGTTCCTCTTCTTAGATCTATTTTGGGGAGGTGAGGGGCTGAGAAAACGGAGGGGTATAGATACAGGAGAGATGTACCACACCTATCCTCCCCACACCCACACCCAGGCCCAAGGCCTTCTTCTTGGGGGCAGACCATTTCAATACCTGGTCCATGTTGGGGTATAAAGGTCCAGCTTTCATACCTCAATTTGGGACAATTCTTTGGGATCCCCTGAACTTCAGAACTTCCTGAGGGGGTAGGTTGAGGCATTTGTTGAAGTTGCTTAGCTACCCGACTTCCTCATCCACTCCCCCAAATCCCCCTCCCTAGGTGTGGATCCCAAAGTCCTCCCTAATAAACTTGCTGTGTCTTGATCTCGATCAGTTGGTCCCCTCACTGTTTTACTTCCCAAGGTTCTGGAGGGTGACTCATCAGTCAGCAATTTGGAGCAAAGAGTGTTCCCTGCATTGCACCTGGAGAGCAGCAGGCAGGTTAAGCATAGAGTGCTCCTCAGAACTCCACAGAGCTGCCCCACCCTGCACCATCGCTATGGCAGCTGCCTATGTACACTGGACTGTGACTCATCAGTTCATGTCTGGTGCCCACACCGGACTGCTTTGCAGGACAGAATCCTTGCTTACCTTGCTCATCTCTGGTATGACAAATATTTCCAGGATGACTGAATGAAACAAGTCCTGAAAGGTAGCTCAATTCACAGTTGAAACTGACATCCAAAGAACTAACTGGCCCAAAGCAATTAGACTAGGAGGGGTGGAGCTGGCCCTTCTCCTCTGTTGTAGTGAGAAGTGGAACCCATGGAGATTAGAGGTCCCAACTTCTGCACTTAGGGCTAGGCTTCACAAATACAGAATAAAACACAAACTAGTCCCAACGGAAACTGAAGAGTGTACAGGGAAGGGCTGCCAACCAGGACGGCAGGTTGGCATCACCTAATGGCCGCCAGCAGAGGGAAGACAGAGTGCTCTCTGTAAGTGAGGCTGCTCCATGAAGCATGCCATCCTGCCCTGCACATTCCGAAGCCGGGGCTCCTGGGAGGCGTGTTCACAGCCTTGAGCACTAGTGCAGACATGGCTGTTGGAACTCCAGAGGCAGAAAAGTGGTCCTGCTCCTGGGGCCACGCTGCCAGGAGTATCCGGGGGCCACCCCCTTCCCTGAGGCCCAGGCTTCCTTCTGTAAGACAGTGGCACCCAATGACCTCTATGGTTATTGGTTACTGGACTGTGGGCCTTGCAAGTTCTGATGCCCAGATAGCATGTGAGCTGGGATTTGGAGGCCCTGCATTTCAATCCCATCTCTGGCTGTGTGACTCGGATTCATGGCTGCCCGGATCTCAGGCTCCCAATGGTTCAAAGCAGAGGTGGAAACAGGTCACCTGTCCACCCTTCCTGCTGGGATATTCTAGGATTCTAAGCTTGCTTTTTGCTCCTAGGCCGTGCTATTCCCACTATCACCGCTTCTTGTGGCTTCCAGACGACAAACGTGTGTTGCTTGTGCCTGATGCGGGGAGGCTGGTGTGGAGGCTCTGCTCTCAGGGCTAGGCTGGGCCTTCGGGGCTGGGCTCGACTCTTGGGGGTTCGCTCAGCTTTTGGGGTTCGCTCAGCTCTTCGGGGCGAGGCACGGCTCTTTGAGTGGAGCCTAGCTCTCTACTCCTGTAAGTAATCAAATGAGGTAAATCTTTCCTTAACAGAGCACAAAGCTCTGCTGATCTATGCTCCACCCTTTGGGACCGGGGTTGGCCCTTGGGGACCAGCTTTAGCTCCCCAGGGCTAGGCTCTGTGCTTCGGGACTGGGCTCAGCCATTTGGGACTAGGCTATTTGTTTTCTAAATGTCATATCTTT